GGCGTGCTATTATTTGTATAGAGTGCTTCATAAAAATGTTGGTGTTAATAGCTTAACTGATTATGAGATCCTATTCCAAACCCAAAAGATAATTCAGCATCACAAGTGAGTGAAAAAACATTCACAAAACAAGTCGTAAAATAATATTCATCATAATATTTGCCATTTGCTCAAAGTATTAACAGAAGCGGACTGGTTCATTTCCAACCAAAATTGAATTTAATACTGTCGATCACACCAAATAGTTCGCAAAACCAATCAATTAGCGAATCATTAACAATGAAAGAAAGTTATGAGTTCTAATTGTGCGGCGGTTACTTTGAATCGATACAGCTAGACACAACAATGAGGCTACATATGTATAGTACCTACAGACTAATGATTGAAAGATGTAATTAATAAGTTGAGGTCTTCGATAGAGAGAATTTGTCATAGAATACAATGGACTTTAAATTTTAATTAAATACTTTTTTTCGGATATGCTGGTAAACGAACAGACGGATCATCCTGATGGTAAGCAATCGGCGTCGCCCATGGACACCTGGAACGCCAGAGGCGTTACAAGTGCTTTACCGGCCTTTTGGGGATTAGGAAATTCAGGGATTGGGGAGATAGGGGGGAAGGGGGTGGGGCCAAATTAGGCCTCTAGTAACATCACTCACATGACGAACACAACGCAAGCGTTATTTCCCGTCGGTTTTCTGTGAGGACACTCCGGTCGAGCCGTCGAGCCGATGTGCCGAAGCATGGCTCTCCCACATACTTGTAAAATTGTAAATGTTTCCGCACGTAGTTAAAGCTGATGCAAAAAATATTAATTGAGAACGAGGACTGATAGTGAAGATAATTCTACAGGAATACTGTGACATTTTCAAGAAATATAATTAAATTGCGAGGCTACTTACAACTGCCTCATCCCTCCACTGCTGCACTTATTAAAGTGGTCATAACGTTGCACAATAATACTTTCTTCATATTGCTGCAGATAATTTTACTAACCTACTCATTGGTTGGTTGTTCTAATCAACCTGTCAGTTCCACAGGCTATGAAGACCACCGAAGACAGAAGTACCAGTAGGAGAACCATATGTATATCGAATCACATGCGACCTACAGTAAAGCAGAGCCAACTTAGAAAATAATGTAAAAAAATAAACTAAAATATGATTTTTGGTACAATAACCATCTTAATACTAAATTCATTTAATTATGCGGCTTCTCTTAGTAGACACTCTCTTCTTACAAATATGAGTCCCAGATTCTCAAAAAGTATACGTAAGTAAGTCTTATATTACAATTCATTACAATATTATGACATAAATTTGCAAACATATTATCTACAGTTGTAAGTACGTGCGTCTGTGCGTCATCAATCTCTCAAAGTATTTCAGCCACTTAACATTAGAAGTAATTAAGAACGGAATTAACATAACTGGAATCATTCAAGCTGTTAGCCGATGACAGCTCACTATGACCGACGGAAGGAAATTATAATTATGTATAAGCCAGTACCATACTATGTAGTACGATGTATTTTAAGATACAATCATTATAACAAGACTGTAACACCATAATACATAATTCTATTAATAAAACTTTTTACTAGAACTCTCAATAGTTCTTAACAATACCCTTCCTTCAATCGGGTTAAAAACGAGGGTTTTGAAAAAAAATATGAGGATAATTACGACCATCTCTCATAATATGTTTGCTGCTTACCACCTACCACATACATTTCTGCACTACCCAAAGTATGACTGGCAGAGAATGCTGTTAGCATTAAGTCTTCCTTATGCAATTGTATAAAACTTAAATAAATAAAAAGTTAACAAGAAAATATAACGGCATAAAAATAAAATTAAATTTAAAAAGTTTCGTTGCGCTAGCTACGTGGACTATATACCTACATATAGACAGTTGTATGTCAAAAATGTAACTAATTCTTTGGTGTCATCTTCACATATAAAATTTTGGTTGCACTGTTCCTATTAACTCAGAAAAACTACTTAATAAGTAATAGTTAAGCTTTTTATTCCACAAAAACATTCTCATAAATCCAAAGCCAAAAGTAACCCACCTGGGCAACAGAGCTACAACAATAGCGAAGTAATTTGACCACAGGGCTATCGGTACTACTCGGTACTTACCTACAACTTTTTGCCTTCGAACACCTGCAAAGATATACCATCGGAACATTGCGAGGCGTCAAAAAAAGATTGTCTTAACATTTACTGTTACTCATTGACCCTCTTTTGATACGGCGCGATGATATATTTTGATTGGAAAACTTCTAGAACGTGTTCCGAGTTTTCATTATGTTCGATGACCGTTAAAATATAAATAAATATAGATTCGTGAATGTTTACTAATGCTACGATCAAAATCTCTATTATTAGTAGGATTGTTCTCTATACAAATTAACAGAAAGTATTGCTCATTTATTGGGATTCCGACGATTGATAAAGAATAACTTTAATTTATTAAAATAACTGTGATTGTTTAGACTCACTAAAATACTATCTAAGGTTTGGTTATACTGTATTCTCCTCTATTAATATTTATTCCGTTGCGGGAACCAAGATCATTCATGTACCTGAAACGAGTACTCCGGTGTTTTCATGGTTGTATCTCTGTAGATCTTGGCTTACAGGAGTTGTATTGGTTTCAGGAGATTGTGGCGGGCTCATCCTATACATATACTTTATGTTTGAATTGTGTTAGAAAACTCCATATTACTAACCATCAAAAGGCATCAACGTACAACTTGTATCAAAACAAAGAAACTAACGAATCATCAAAAATCTTATTCAACGGTAAATCATCGCATCATCATCATCATCAATAATCAGTTCTGATAATCATATGCTAACAGTCACCGAAGTCATCACTTGGGTCACGAGTCATCACTATCGCCTCCACTAAGTGACTATTCGAGTAAAAGTGACACTATCTCATATATTTTGAACAGTCGCCATTTATAACAGTGTGCCACTAACATTTCGTTTGATTGACGACCGAATTATTGTGGGATGCCAGAAAATATAATATTAAACTGAATGTAATGTGCATTTAATAATGTAGTGATGAATGTTGTTCAATTGCTTCGTGGAGTTAAAAAGTATTTTCTTTAAGGTTAGACCAGTCTAGACAGTCAAACATTTTATTAATCAAAGAGTGATTTACACAGTAAGAGTTTGAATCAGATGATTTCCCAAAAAATATTGTGAAATCTGAATCTGATTTTTTTATGTTTGACACAAGCCCATTTTGTTCCTCAACTAACCAAAAAGTCAATAAAAAATAGGTATCCATTACCTACTATTATTATATGGCTATATATTACCTATTATATTATTTGGCTTTTTACACCAAATAAACATTATTTATTTATTATTTATATTATACAATTGGGTCGCAAGACTCGCGTGAGACTCTCGTAGGCATGGCTCTACGCAGCTACGCATTATTGCGACTTCGTAGGCGGCTACAAAACCCATACGTTTTAAAGGCTGCCTACAACTTCGTAGGCACGTCATGATAAAATAATTCTGACGGTACTTCTATAGTATTAACAACATTTTTAATAGTCAATGAAAATAGTATTGAGATCTTAAACGAAACTAGGTTACACCAACTGAATTAATTAATGATGTTTACACTGTTCACTAAAATGCATACACAACCATACTAAAACATACACAGTTTACAAACAAAATTAAATAAAGATTTGTTATGTTTTTGTCCCAAAAGTCCTCCATTTTGATGACTATGACTCTTTCAAGTAACACGTTCAAGGTATACCAAATAACCATCACATTACTAATATGATATATCTATACCAAACCATTAAATGTTACACCCATCTCTTAGATGATTCATCCCCGTAAATGAGGCTTAGTGAACATGACCTTAACATTATCGCCTATAACACGAGGAGGACCTTGTGAGGGCCATAGCAGCCACCATAAAGAAAACCATCGGTGTCCTACTTACCAGCTGACAGACAAACATACATATACTCACTCTACAATGCAAAATCACCCTTATTTTAATACACCTAAGACCGGAGAAAGGTGAAAGTAAAGTTTGTAGGTCTGTAGGCCTGTCAGCGTGCGCCTGTGTGCGTAAATGCTGTATTAGTGTAGCAGTGTGCGTGTACGCAATGGAGATAGCAGCCGCCAGGTGTGGTCAACTTTAAGTGAAATGCGCCGCTTTCGATTTGAAGTAAATTTTTATTTTATTAATATCTTATGTTGATTTATTATTATTTTGCATGTACTTAACAATTTGCTTATAAAAGTAATTGATTTTTTTGTTCAAATAATTAAGTAATTAAATAAAAAATTAGGTCATCCTACCATTTATCGTAGTTAGCATCAAACGTCCTGTGTTGTTTGTTTGGCGGCTCCTAACCTTCTGATTAGTGTTCATAACATAATTACTGTACGAATATTTCCTCTAACTCGCTGAAAAACTAAATAAATTACAATCGCTTTGTTATTGCGTGCTTCCGATGCAATATCCTCTGAGTTAGTTATTAACACGAGGACCTAGTTCCATATCATAGCTGCAGCTATTTGTACATTATGTGCTGTTCGTGATAGAAAAGGACCGTGCTATAACGTTGATTTTATTAAATTTATATTAAAGAATGCTTACTTTATAACGCTCTTTGACATCAAATTAAATATTTTTGATATCATAATTAATACACGAATATGATTTTCTAACAAAAATGTAAACTGCAATACAGTTACGATCGCCCGAAACAACACATCATTATTTTGGCCACACATCACGAATCTTACGGTAATAATAACAACATCAATTAACATAATTAATCACAAAATCATAACTAATTAGCGAATGTAATAACCCGCGACTACGAGCTACGCGGCGTAGCGGGCCGCGGTTCGCCCGCCCTGCGCCGCACGGTGGTAGAAAATTTTTGGTGGGAAGTGAGTGGGGTGCGCCCGCGCCGCCAGTCTGACGACACCACGCGCGCGCAGCGCCCGTCCCGGCTAGTGAGTGAAGTGCAGTGCGGACCTACCGACAATAACCACAGTGACGCTAAACTACGGGGAGAAAAAACATAAAAATTCAGTGTACGTTTACAAAAAAAAAAGAAAAAAATTCAAACACGCTGACCGAAAGCGAAGCGTTTTTGGGAAATGTTTGTAATTGGCATTTTGTTAGTGACGTGACAGTGCCGCCGATTTGTGGATCACACAGTGGATGCCTTATACTTCGGACGCCAGTTTTTTTTATTATTATTTTTTACACATAAATTTTTATATTTTTATATTTCTCGATATATTCAACAATCATAGTCTTTCTATATTCTACCCTCCTTGTAAATATTCGAGAGATTATTTTTGTTTTTGTATTTTATATAACTATGCCAATCACATCTTTTCCTTTTTTTCTTTTTTTTCCTTTTCTATTTTTACTAACGACCGAGCTACTTATTAACCGCATGATAAGTCTTTTACAATAGAGAAAATAGAATCTATAAAATAGTTTTTAGAATCTCAATTAGTTGTTTTTGTACGGGATATCCCATTTTAGTTTATAGTTTAGTAATCGGAAAATGTATATTTTCCGGTGCGGAGCTATCGGAACGGGTTCGGTTTTCGGCTGATAGCTCGAAGGTCGCTCGACTGGTTCTTTTTACAGTTTTAACGGCGCGGCTGGCCCGTAGCGACACAAATTATTTTCTTCCATTCCTTTGTTTTCATTATATTTTTAGCAGTATTAAATACGTTTTCAGATTTTTTGGTAATATTATAGCTCTAAAAACATATAAATTAAATTAGAATACCTAAATAATACCACTAAGTTATCGGTAATTTTGCAATTTAATTAAGTAAAAAATTGATATAATTACTATTACTTGTTGTTAATAAACATAAAATTAATCGAATAACTTAAATCTAAAAACAAATCACTTTGATACACAGAATGAGGTCAATGCCCTATTTGCGTAAAAACTGTAACCAATCACAATCAATTAAGAAATGACTGAAAATTGTTAAGTTCAAGCTATTAGGCGGTTGGCAACTGAAACATTAACATTGCAATTCTTATAATTGTAAAATAATTTAAGTCAATATTGTTAAGCTACATGATTATTATTTTTTTTAGTTAAAGTAGGCTATTATTACCCCTCTTTTTAGTTAGCTTGCTAGTCCCCCAGCTTCCCTCGTCCCTCTAAGCGTCTGTAGTAATTTCTGACTTCATCTTGTTCTAGTCCTCCTTTGTCCCCCACTGTCTGACCCCCGGGTTGTCCTCTGAACATTGTCGAAGGCTCAAGAGACTCACTTCGATTGAAGGATTGATTGATTGATAAACCATAAGTGGACATGAGTATGTTAAGGATTTGACAACAAACGACGCCACATATTTGCTTCAGTACACACATGTAAGTAGATTACGATTATAGTTAAACTACTTCATGTTAGAATTAATACTATATAAACAGCACGTCGAGTTACACAAATCTGTCTTTCTATAATAGATTTTGAACTTAATCTGTTTTGCATTAAAGTCTAATATCTATTGAAGGAATTTGACAGAATAGAGTAAGTTGTTATGCTGTTAACACGTAGCAGGAATACTGTCAGTTGAACGCGATTCAAGCAATAGAGCCAGTATCAATGACCTTGTTATTTTCTAGGTAAATGAACTGTATTTAAATAAATTAGCGACGACGTTGATAAAACACACGACGTCAAACTTATAGATAAATATATTTTTAAGGATTCTTTTCCTTTTGACCTTACATAGACAATTCTATATTTATCAATCTTGCTGAGACTGAAGTCTATTAACATTTCTCCCGTAAGTACATTTTTGATATACACAGAGAGATATTGATGTATCTCAATAAACTCTAAATTAAAGCAAACATAGCCCAAATATGTTGGTATATTCAGAGATACTTTTCTAAGAATCCCTAATTCAAAATCTAGAACTGTATAATATTCAGTCTAGTTTCTAAGGAACCCCTTGCGTAAACATGAAGCGGTATCACGAGGCTCTTGTTCATTCATACATTCAAAGTATTGCGGAAAATGTTTACAAATTCCGATTTTGTTTGCTCTTTCTATGTCACTTGCACTTTTTATATCCTTGTGTGGACATACTTCATTCATTAACTACTTAGGCAAACTTTAAAGGCAAGATGAAGATTCCAGATCTTTAAACGTCTTTAACTTTTGTACTAATTTGACTGGTATAATGTAATCATGTAAACCACTCACTGATTCTAAGATAAAACATCATTATGCTAATATGTTGTTCGTAACAATTCGGCTACCTTCGTAAAACCTGACCTACATACAACGTTTGTTCCGTATGCCGCCCACAGAGGTTGGCTCAGCGCGCCGGCACATTGACTCATCGCCAAGGATGCGAAGATACGACGTGTTTGTGTTTATGCGAGCCTAGTACTTTAAGTGCGAATATTTTGAAGCTTTTGATTAAGTTCTTTGGGAAAAATGAACTATTAGTTAAGCTTTTTTAATTCTTTGTATGAAATAGATCATTGTTTAACTAATTTGATTGAAACTTGTACCTACATACTCGTATTTTAAATGTATTTGTATACAAATCAGTTTCAATGAAGAAAAGTAAATTAATCTTAATTAAGGACTTATTAGATCGCATTTTTCTCGCCATTGAAAGTTTCTGTGTCTAGCTAGCACTGCGCTAAGAATGTACTTACGCTAGCACTGGCTAGTTACAACTAGTTGAAGGAAACCGTTAATTATTAACGAATTAAGGCCGTCTGCTTGAAGACTACAATAATAACGTAAAAATTGTTATAAGTAAAGCTCAATAAATCATTTTAAGTACAAAACAATAAACTGTACTTGGCAAGCAACACATACACATTTATGGCCACATACTTCAATTGTATCTGTATGAATCACGTTCATACATACATATATGTCTCATTTTCAAATACTCAAAATTGAGTTATAATATGCGAACTAACTAACGGTACACGAGACGTAATACCATGCATTGAGCCAACAACAATATTATAAATTGTCACTAACATTCAATACAATATAATGTTAAATCTAAATCTAACATACAAAAGGCTGCACAAACTATATCGGCACAACGAGGTCTAACAGTGACACATATACGCCGGCGTGAGGGGGGGGGGGGGGGGAGGTGCGCGCGCAACTTTCACTCGCGCGCCGGAGATGCGCGGATCAGCGGCAAGCGGCAATGACCATGCCAGACTTAATGTCAAGTGCAAGATAATGATGCCAGTTGAATGGCTGCAGACGTTTGGAAAGTGGCTGCCAGGAAAATGGCAGGTGTTGTGATTTTACGGTACTGAAACGCTAAGATAGGATATCGATATTAAAAATATTCCATTGCACGTCTGACATCTAGAAGTGTGCCAGAAGGACCTGCTTACTTAATTCCAACTTAGGTGGCTAATTCTATAACATACATAACCTCATGCCTGTCTCCCATGAGGGCAAGCATAGACTATGATACGATGCTATGATTCTTACATATCTCTTTCGCTTCAAAAAACCCTTTCAATGACAAATGACAAAGTTTATTTACACACCCCAGATACCAATACGTTAATCAATTAACAATGACACAATCAACCAAATCCTAACAAATAAAACACATATTACTGAAAATTCCCGAAGGCTTCAGTCGATTACAAAACATAGTTAGAAGACTCGACGACCACTTGGAGTTCCCCATAAGCGAAGTATCATTGCAGTTGAATCGTTTCAACAGTATTAGTTAGAACGGTGACTCAGTAGCGAAGTGTCGAAACAATTAGCTGAATCGATTCCGTGTGATGTATGGACGAGGCCGAACACATATGTATATACATATGTAGTTTAGTTTTTGACTCAGAAGAGGCCTTCAGAACAATACCTTAGACACGTCATACGTCATGCCTGTCTCCCATTGGGGTAGGTAGACATATTAGAACATCATGAAGAGATTTATGAATGTATATAAAGCTAAAGAAGTTTGCCAGAATCACACCATTTACGGCAGACTTATTGGCTATTCTACCTCGAACTAAATTACCGTCATTTTCTAAAAAAAAGACAAAGAAACGATATGTCACACGATTAAGCAAATCCCTCGATTATTTGACTACATTAAAGTTTAATACGACGTTTAAAGTGATCATTGGCTTATGTATGAATAATTATACATCTGTTATTCTGTTTGTAGCTTATGATATGAATAATTATTTATCTGTGTATTAACACGCGATTCTGATTAGTTTTTGTGAATCGTAATGTCGTGTGAGAGTTTGTCTACTAATCTCCTGCATGACATGTGTCATTGAGTGCGTGACAGGTTACTTGTATAGAGGTAGACATTTTTTGCTGGTGCCGTTTAGTTATCACGTATTTAAGAACAGTTTCAATTAGCTAAGCAAAATTCGTCTATGAATAACGTAGAAATAGTCAAGTCAAAAAATAAATGATGGCTGTTATTTTTTGACTATGAGTCAAGTCATTTCAGTTATAGTAATATTTTCAGTGTACTATTACAGTCTTCAGTCATTCTCAACGAAATCCTTTCAAAGACAAGTATGTTTAGTTGTTTTTGTTTTCGTCTAAGATTTGTCTAAGTAATGCACACAAAGTGCATCAAAATAATCCCATACGTGCACAATTTGAACGCAGGCCTCCGCACGCGACGCGCGCCGCATCGATAACGATGCGCGGACATTGGCCAGCGAGGTGAAAGCGAAACAGCTGATCCTGGTACTTCGGCCTAAGGGGCAGACAGAAGTGTAGGTCTAGGATCTAATTATAATCAGATTTTACCTAGGTTAGTTACTTAGTTATTATAACTTTAGGGTATGTTGCAAATATGTTCTGGTAAATCACGCTGTATGTCAAAATATTTCGTTTATTGTTTTACAAAAGTTCTGAAAAACGCATTTATTATTGACGATGTTAATATTAAATTCTAAAAGAAAAAGTATGTATATGATAAATTACTGTAATCGACACCCCTCACCAAATTGACCCAGACTTCTAAGTTCAGCAAACAATTCACTGAATCACAGACAAGTTATGTATGTGTCCGTTTTGTTTGTGTTAAGAGAAAGTGATGTCTATTGATGACGTCACTGAAAACTTTAAACTTGCCCCTTATAAATATTAAAATGTAATTTACTAACTACACTCCACCCGCATACTAGAGAGAAAACTCCGATGTCCTTCAAACAACTGTATTTGTGTTTATTTAAATTCGTTGTAGTTTCGCTATGGAACCATTCAAAGCATACATATTTAGTTATAGAGCCAATGGCCTCTCTGTTCATCATTTTGCATAACTGAATGAAATCGTCATCACAAAACCAATGATCATTCATTAGACGAACCGTAGGCTCTTTAATATTGATAGTACTACAACAATAAGAAAACATATTTTTCAATTTATTTGCTTAAATCGATCCACAACTATAAACTAACTTAACATTACATCTATTAAACTAACCATTTACTATTATACCTGAAATTCTGCCTACCCCATTCGCGAACTGGCTTCATATTAGCCGCTCACAGTCAAGTGCGTAGTAGTGAAGAGAAAGCCGCGCATCAGACAGACCGGTCTGCCATATCTATGTTCTAGACTGGTACGTGCTATTGTGACCTACTTCCAGCCTATCCCATACCTCATTGGTCAATTATATAGCCTCTTAGATCATTAGATCTATTCGATAGGAACATATTTTGGTTTCACTGATTATTTTCCTTCAGAGGGGTGATTTTACTAAGTACGATGGTGTTATAGAGTTCTGATCAATCTCAGGGCTTCTAAAATGTTGTGTTTATCTTGACTTTGGTCAATATGGATTACAAAAATAACAGAAATAGTTGATTTGATAACCTAACTAAGGAATGTCTAATGTTCACAATTACGTAAACTCGTTGATGTCTTTTATAGGTGCATATGTCTCGTAAGACAGTCAGAAATTTTTCCTAAAGAAAAGAATGAATATTTTGATTCATATCGAAATGAAAGTGTCCCACAACAAAGTACAATTGTTAAATAATAATAGTTTAAATGTAACCCTTATTTAATAAACATTACTTCGTACGATACAAAAGACCGAAATTTTTAAATTTTGGCCATTTCAAAGGGCCACATGTTATGGAACAATAAGGTTCTTTATGTGCATATGTTAAGGCTTTCTCGCGTGTTGCTTTCACCTCTAGAGTCTGCGACAGATGTCCTTCGAACCCTTCAATCAGTCAATATTTGAATTGGGCCGCGGTGTAGCAGGTAGCTGAAAAAACCGAACATGTGCGCATGCGCACTGTGGGAATATTCGGAAGATGTACCGATATCTTCGATCAGTGTGTGGTAGTACTTGTAACGCATCTTTTGTTTGAGAGTGTCGGGGTAGGTGATGCGGTGTTTGTCTATAGTAAGTCAGAATAATTTAGACGTGCTAAGCAAGGTGTCTCAGGTTCGATTTTTGGGTCAGGCAAAAAAATTGTCTTTCGATTTGCAAACTTCTATCTTCATGAGTGTCTTTAACAGCTTATGCTTGTTAGTATCGTAACAAGTTGTTACGATACTTGCTATTCTAGATTCGGATTTATAAAATTCAAATTTGAGTTTAACGGTCATATCGTTCACCAAATGCTACCACTATTAGGGACTATCATTATACATTTTTTAACTCATATCAATAAACCTTATTGCCCTTGTTTACCCCTTTATGGAGACTTCTTATAAACGCCCATTAAGTTAAGAAACTACCGGCACCTTATCTTTATCCCATTACAAACGCCTTTGAGTTTAGCAAAAAAGGGATTTCAAGGACCCTTAATACGAGGGTCCATTAAACAACCCCCAACAATGTGTAGGCAAACAACCCTTTATTTACATCGTTCCTAAATCCGGAACGAACCGGATATCGTTTTAATAAGCGACGGAAGTGACGTCATGTAACATGACGCCGCACATCCTTCACTGGGTTAATGGGCGTTTGGAGGCTTTTGAGGTTTTTTGCTGATGTGCCGATTCATCTTTTGTGGGACGCGTAATTATGATATTGTTGAGGAAACTATTGATTGAATTTAATTTGATGCCGATTATATTTGACGATGATATGGGAATTTGACTAGAAATGTCGTTGATTTTTTTAGCATCGTACTTATAGTATAAATGCGAGAGTTGGTATGTACATTTGTTACTAGTACCACTCGATAATAGATTGTATTAGACACTGAATTTCTAAGAGACGCTTCACCATTACCAGCAGAATTGAAGACAATGTTTTCTGCAAGTGCCTTCAGGGGGTAAAAGATAAATACTTTGCTGACTATCGCCTTGCACTGTATGCTTATACATTTTCTCTCATAAACTATCCAATGTTCGAATGTTTATATTAAAATTAATGACCGAATTTCTCCAATACATTTATTGCCGGTAATTGGATTCCAGAGTTTTACTGCACTTTATATGGAAAAGTGACTAACTGAAAGTGGTATAAATAATGTAATGTCTTTAGTGACTGTAGGTGTCATGGTCACGTAGGTCTTCTATTAGGGTAGGTTGAGAGAATGAAACAAAAAGACCACTAAATACTAGCTAGGCTATTACATACATGACATATTATTTCTTCACACCACACACATGCATGCATACAAATTATATTTTTTTATAATTGAATTATACTGTGTAATTTTGAAATGTAATGACATAACATAACATCACGCCTTTTATCCCAGAAGAGGTAGGTATTACATTACAATGCCATAATGTGCACCAGTCGTGCACTACTTTTCACTATTTATGTTATGAGTCCCATGTAATAGGAGGTGAGCCTATTGTCATATACCGGGCACAATTCCAGACTCCGTGCTATTACTGAGAATTTTTTTAAAAAAAACCTATAATACTTTGCCCGACCCGGGAATCGAACCCATGACCCCTTGCCCGAATGTTATGAAAAGTGTTTAAACAGTTAATGTGTTCAAGTCCAAACATTAGGTTTACAAAAACATTGCACATCGGTTCTTCTTTTAAAAATGATATATTAATACACTACGCGATACCATTTACATAATTGTCACATAAGTTATTTGAACAAAGTTGCCCTTTGAACAAAGTTCCCACCAGCTGACATCGTCCCATCAAATTCTTGTTTCTCAAAAATCTCACAAAAGAACTATAATACTGTTATTTATACATCTCCGACCGATCCCTATTGGAGGCTTCATCATCCTAAAAGAGTAACAGCCTGCGCGCGAATGGGATAGATGTATGGGAATAAGAGAGACAGCGCACGGGCAACGTCCTGATTTGTCAATAAACTTGACCCACATTTCATTGAGAGCGAGTCTGGAAGGCTTTGGAGGTAAAGTCGTGGTTACAAGGGGGTTAGAGTATTATTAGAGGACATTCAAGGTTTTATTTTGTAAACAAAACATTTTAAAGGAAATATTTTAATAAATATCATCACGCCTATTATTCAATAACATTAAGGATTAAGAAGTTCATAAAGACATTCATTTTTTTTTAAGTTTTTGTAAGTAGGCTTTTAGCAAAAGAACTATTATTCCTACAGTAACAGTCTCAGATCAAAACCTGGAGCGAAATTAAAAAAAAAGATTTACTACTCTTAACTTTGTCATTTAACAACTCATAATTCCAATGAAATAGTACTACTATATAAAGAACTATAGAAATATAGGCACTAATTATAAAGATACATATCATATAGAGATAATATATGAGTAACGTTTGTGTCCGCGGTTTTACTCCGAGGTCCTTGTCCCTTGTAACGGTGCGTCGGTTTCGGGCGACGGAGCTCACCCGGCCACCGGTCGTGAACCTCCCAACCAATGCTCTTGCGCAGCGCTACCGAAATTTTCAAATACTACCTATTTCCACGTGGTCCCTTTTGATCATAGCGTGAAGTTTTACAGCCATCCTTGATAAATGGATTGCGTAATAAAAATGTTAAAATTCAAAACTGTACTTCTGGAGATAAACACATGTAAACAAACAAACAATTTAGATTTACAATATTAGTATAGATTCACATAATATATATTAAAGAGAAGATATTTTTTATATTGCTATATCTTATGTTTGAGATAGAATTAGATCTTTTTTCATCAAATATCTTGAATAAAAAAGATTTTAAGCTGTCTAGATCAGGACCATATCCGTGTATCAGCTGTTAAGGGTCAGTCACCTTTGTATCACCGAAAGACCTAGACAAGTTCTATGAACTCTGTATCACAGCTCAAGCAATAAAATTAAAATATACCTAATGTCGTATCGTTTTACAATCAAATTCCCATATCATAACGGGTCATAGTTAGTCATAAATTAGAAAAAACATTTTTTTTTCTACAGAATTACTAAATCCAGTAATATCTTTAGAGGCATGTGAATCAAAAACAAACATAAAAAATAAATCAGTTAACTTGTCAAACAATAGCTGGAAGTATCGTCCATCTAATTCGTAGCAGTAAATCTACGGTCCCTACATTATGGTAATGCCGCCACGTGGCGCTGCGCGGGCGTCGAACGGCCTTGTTCGCGGGCGCCCGAGCGTGCGCGCGCAGTTACCCGCTACGTCACTGACTGCGGCCCGTACACTAACTGTACCACACGTGCTCACTGCTCGCCGATACACTGATAAGCTTTGTTTGCTTATCTATTAGAACAAACGGAAAATCTCAAAAAATTACGAAAAATTGTGAGAACAGTGTTCAATTAGACGGAAATAAATTTTCCATAGTGTTTCAACTTTATAAATTATTAACCTTATTCGATGTAATTTATCTTTTAGATTATAATTTCTATTATTACCTAATTTAAGAGTAACTAACAATCATATACGACATTTGAATAATGCGTTCTGTTGTGACCTCTGACATCAACGGTAAAAGTTAAAAACTCAAATAAAAATATTGATTTATAGATCTGTTCGTTTACATTATAACTATACGATAGAACTCTCTGTTCTATCATCATCTATTTAATTAAAAGCGCGATAGTAAAAATCGTCAATTTATTGAAAATTTCAAATTAAAACGTAAAGATAAAATTTAACGAACGCGCCAAATAGGCCACAAGAACAAGTAAACGAGTGAAAAAATAACGTTAATTTACATAATTATCATAGAAATGTTCGTGGCGTCTGTTCCCCGTTATAAGAAGAATATTATTAAATCTACTTCGATTGCATTCATGAATAATTTTGTTAATATCCTAGTTTAGTGAGGGAATGATATCTACACTAATCTACAGTCCCTAACTGGCTGCGTCGTTTACGTGTTAAGTATCTAATTAACACACCATTGAGACTTATCGCAATAATATCTTAAGAGGTTTTACTATAGCTTTGCAAAGCGAATAAAACTATTTACCCAATGCATTGATGCCCGTTATCACCAACCTCTGAGTTTTTAAGTTAAATGACATTTAACCACATTTTGGTTTTAACCATAGGTTGGTGACACTTAACAGCACGGTTGGTGCGGTGGCTGGGCAACTGGCTACCGCGCAACGTGTCGCGGGTTCGATTCCCGCTCGGTACATCTTTTTCTGAGTGTCATGATGTGTATGTAAACTTGTGTATTTGTAAACGCACCCACGACACCGGAGAAAATATAGAAATATTTTTTTTTACACACCACAATAAGTAACAGACTTAGTTTAGAGATGGTTTAGAGGCAGTTGGTAAAACCGGCCATTGGTGTTCAGACTTCATTTATAACTGTTATAAACATAAAAATGTAAAAAATACTATTTAACATGATTACTTTTAGAAGTATAAATTATCGTTATCGTTTAATATTCTTACTATATTTTTCAAACCCTTGTTATAGGTTAAAATGCCCATATAGTAAAGTTGTCCGATAGCCTTACGAGGCTAGAATCATATTAATTTGGCGTTTAGCTTAATGTTACTAACGTTCTGCTCACTCCCCAAGCGGTCATCGGTGACCGCTCTCCACTTACACCATTATAGACCTAATTTTTAATGTTTATAGACTATACTTTTGTATGAACAAACTTTGTGGATTTTTCATAATTGAGCATTAAGAAGTTGAATAGGAGTATTGGTAGCAAGGAGTTGATCATATATTTCTCTTTTATTTTCTAGATCAGCAGCGATACTGGGAAGAAAGGAATGAGCAACAAGCACAGCCTAATTGCTTTACATGATCAAAACGCCTTTTATTTTGCCCAGTAAGTCACTTTTTTATACTACAGTAATATTTATCTTTAATTTTAGCTTAACTTTACTTGATAGTAAGTTAAAAAGGTCTTATGTATTTATTTTGTTCTAGAATTACAGTCACTGCAGGTTGTTTAAATCTAGCATAAAGTTTAATCACAAGTCTTTTATACTGCAGAATTATTCAGTTTAATCAGATTTAACCCACGACCAAAATTAACCCAGTTGTAAAAATGCCACGGCTAAGAAAGTTTTTAAAATGAAATTCTGAAAATTCATCAATTTCACACTACTATAATATTAAACTACCTTATTTTTGGTACAAAATTCAGCGCAGTCACGTGATCTGTACTTGACTTTAGATCGAGGCTTTGAGGTTTCGAGGCCATTGCGGGGGAGGTAGAGGGGGGAGTGAAGGAGGGGGGGAAGGCTTTCGTCTCAAAAAGTGAAACGAGTCTAACTGTAAAGTCAGGTTAATTGTCGGATTTGTTTTGCGAGTGTTATTAAAGTTGTGTTATTATCTTGGACGACTATGCACGAACTCGTGAGCTTGGAACATAAACCTGAGTCACACGTTTTACTGAATTCTTTATTAGATTTCAGCCATGATTAGCATGAGAGTTTTTGGTAATTTGGTCTTTCGTTAACCTGATCCGGAATTATGACATTAATTTAAAACCGTAATAAAAACTATTCGTTTCTAATTAAAGTAATTAATTATTCTAACATATCTATGTTAGTAATTCCATTCACATATCATATACATCACGTCATTCAGTACAGTTATAAACATACATATAATTAAAAAAAAACTTCGTTAGTTTGCAAAATCATTTTCATTAAACATACCAAGACAAGCGGTGTCAAAGGCGAAATGTTTCGCGAAATAATTACAAAGCTTCAAATAATCTGTCAAATTACAGTTGTAGAAGATAAATTGTATGCTATTGTACATCTTTAAACGTATTCTTGTATATAAATTGCTTGTATTGTCTTGTGTTGAACAAAAAATCGATTGAATAGTGATCGGTGATCGGTGATCGGTTACTACTTGAACGTCTCAGTTGATTAATAAGTCGTATCATTTATAAACAGTACTGAAAGACTTGTGTCTTTTGTTGTATGAAGGTTATTATTATTTTGTAACGACATTATTTTTTTAATTGAATGTTTTGTTAAAATGATTACTTTTTATAAATTTTCGCAATATTATTAATAAGTACCTATAGAAGTTTTTATGATAAAACATTGTATTGCAAATTTTTAAAGCATTTTGTTTTTTTAAATGATTCTTTCTCCATCTTTCACTAGACATTTTTCATATATTTTTTCGCGTATAAAATTAAATGGTAAGCGTTTAACACACACTAAGCCAAGACGAATACATTAAAAGAGACATACAATAAAACAAAAGTGTCGCCTCCATTCAACAAAAACATACAGGAAATGTTTATTAACTAATTAAGGAAACGTGTAAAAGTTATTTACAAAATAAAAAATAAACGAATCACTTCAAAGATAAGTAATATGTTTGAGGAAAAAGTGGGCTTTCTTTTAACAGAAACAGTTCTTATGGTTCGTGAGAAAATTCACACAAATATGAATAGAACGGGGTCAAGGACAAACAATGATTTATTTAACAAACAACTCATGACTCACATGAAGCTTTCTAGTTTATTAGCAAAAAGAAAAAATGTTGATAATGTATCCAACACCGTTAGGTTCTATGAGATCGTTTTATATTTAGGACGGTAATGAGTCAGGTCCCGGAATTTTTCTGGTGGTGAAATAATCCGGGTTTTTTTATTAGTGAGGTAGGCTACTATATCTTTCGTGAGTAATTAAAAAAGTTGAGATATAGTAGAAATGTCCCTAAAATTCAATTACCCACTGATTTTTTTTTAAGCGAGTGCGTTTACAAACATACAAGTTCACATACACATGACACCCAGACCCGGAACAACAGTCTGTGGACCACACAAAGAGTTGTTCCGTACGGGAATCGCATTCGCGACACATTGCACGGCAGCCGTTTGCCCAGCCACCGCACCAATCGTGCAGTCTATGTTTAAAATCCAAAATTATGATTACTCATGTTCCTAATTTTATAATGTTTATGTATCGTAATAGGAAATACCCAAATCAAAAATCAACATCAATTTTAATTGTTTATACCTAAACTCTTTCTTTTTCTTTAGCGATTGTATGAGGAAAATGCTCAAAACTTTCTTTTGGCCCGCACATGTTACATCATGTTACCTGGTACCGATACATCCGTGAGAAGGTGCTTATATTTAGCACAAAAAATTAGGTCATCCAATGTTGTAAGACGGAACAGGCTTGTAAAGGAATTTACATACTGTGCAGTGTGTGCCCACTGGGGATATCATATTTTTGGAGCTTTTTATTTCATTGTTGCATTTTTGTCGGAATCCCTTTTAAGGCTTTATTTATGGGTGTCAGTAAATTGCGTAAGATGCACATTTTTGATATGCAACTTAAGATTACCATACGTTGTTTCTTTCCCTCTAGAATTACAAGATATTTTGGCGAATCATAACGTTTTAAAAATGACATTTTTACTCTTAAAATCCATCAAAAACAATTTAACAAGTCATAGTTTTATCTAAACAGTTCCCCTATGAACCTTATAGTTATACCTTTACACTAGTTATACGAAAACTCTAAAGCAGTGAACATATTATCATCTCACGGTGTCCTTACCGAAAGGTTCCGAAAACTGTATTGGGGTCACTCCGGTCCCGTTAGCCAAAGGAACCTGTTCCCGGCTCCTCAGTACATAGTGACTGACAACTGCTTATTAGCCGCCGAAATTGTACCCCACCCATGAAAATATTAAAATTGTTGTGAAAGATTCGGTTAAAGGGTTTAATACTTTAAGGAAATTGCACTGCACTGTGGATGCTGAGTAGTAAGTACCATGGGTGCTCGTTTCCAAGTATGTAGTTATGATTGTTGGTTGGGCTTCTTAAATTTAATGTAATCGTGGTTGTGTGCTCAATTCAGTAGTCGGTTGATGATTTGCAATTTAATGAAGTTATTACTAAAATTCTTCAACGTTGGTAGTTCAGACTTAAAATAAAACAATAGCTGATGATTGCTATGGATCAACAATAAATGTCTATTTATATTTTTTCTAGAAATACTGGGTGATAACTCTAATCTATCTCTCACAGCTAAAGTCAAAAACAAAAGCTTAAAAAATTGCCCTCCTAAGCCCACTTGTGTACACAAATCTGTCTCAAGCAGTTCTAAATACTAGGCGGACGTGTCCCACATACGAACGAGCCTCGCTCGTAAACCCACATAGTGGTCACATACTCACATTTTTGTGGCCAAAATACAGTTTGTTTTTTAATTCGGTGCTCAACTGGTCTTCTGTTAAACACGGTTTAAAAATTCATTGTGAGATTTGTGAACAAGCGGTTGTTGCAGATTAGACTTGTTATAGAATGGGCTATTTAGGTCTTGTCTATTGAAATTCAATTTAAAGCGGCACTACAGTATCACCGTATGCAGAATGATATTAGAAATTGTTGTTTAAAGATGACTGTTAAAGTCAAAGTTAATAAGTTCGGCTATTGAGGATGATATGTTGTTATTACTTTAGCGGTGATCGAAACGACCTATAGTTGGGTCATCTATTAAACTTGTAAAATTTAGACATTATCTCTATACACCATGGATGCATTCGGCATCGGGTTCGATTCCCAGGTCGGGCAAAGTATATTGGGTTTTTAAAAAATTCTCAATAGCAGCACGGAGTCTGGAAATGTGCCCGGTAAATGGCAATAGGCTAACCCCCTATTATATGGGACTCATAACATAAATAGTGAAAAATGGGTGTTACATTGTACAATGCACCTCTGCCTACCCCTCGGGGATAAAATGTTATGACGGCGTGATATTATGTTGTGTTATGAAAATAAGCTCGAAAAGAGTCCTATGCAAAGTTTTAAGAGAAAATTAGACCGTAATAGTCAATTTTTTTTTTAATTTTCACTTTATTTTGTCTAAAACTCAATACAACTGTACACGATCTGTCCATTTCTAACAGATGACCCGAAACTAGCCGGTTTGACATTTACCGAGAATGACATGCGAATCTAACCTGGGCCTCTAGCCAAAAACCACTTTAGCGCTTGTCTACAGAGAGAGTAGAAATCAAAATGTATGGGGATGACACTGACAAGTGTCAAAATTTACGTCAATTCCATATAATTTGGTTTTCTATTCTACATGTAGACAAGCGCTAAATGGCATTTGGCTAGCACTGTTCATTACCGCGGTATTATGCGGTACCGATGGTAATGCGTGAGGTCTTAACGGTGTGGTCACATGGTCAGCTGGGGTTAACCCGACTGATTATAGTCCATTACGTACAGACACAGCAGCTCAATATTTGTAAATTTATTTCAAAAACTCAACTTTATTGAGTTGTTTTTAAGGTTGGTAATCTATTGAAGAAATTTGATGTACTGGAGTAAGTTTATGAACTGTTTGACTGACAATAGTTTATTTGCAGACACCACTGTGCTTTGACAAGTTGTGAGTGGCTAGTTTTGATTGCAAAGGTTTTATATATTCTTCAATAATTCAATTTGTAATAATTAAAAAAAAAATCGAATGCCGTTTCCTACAGAGTATCACGATTTTCTAATTATGAAAGCCTCCATGCTTTGCATTGTCTTTGGATAAGGTGACATACGTGTCATAAGACAAACGTCTAATAAAATGTTGTAGCTACAAATTGTAATATTGTAAAGAATTAATTTTATTTCGATAATATAGGATTGTTATTTTAGTTATTTAATTTAAAGAATTTAAGTGAGGATCGACGGGCTAAAGCAGTGACAATTAATTGTCGATTCTCTATTGTTATAGGTTTGTATTCCGAGGTTGCTTAGTTTATTATTTTTTTTTATTAAAATATTGTTATTTTATTTAAATAAAACTCTATTGTTATAGATGAATCAAATTATTTCATTGCTGT